GTGTTTGAATGGATTCCTGTCTAGTAATTAGTGCTGAACGGCCCCACGCATAGCTAGTCGCTTTTAGCTCGCCCAGCCAAGCGATTTAGCTTCTAATAGCGAAATGCTACTTTCTAGCATTAATCCCACTTAGTGGAGCATTTCATCCATGTGATAACGGGGCATAGCCTAGAAGTAATCACATGGACAGGAATCATGCTTTAGATTGTAGCATGGAGCTAACTAGGCCTTGCCTATTTAGGCCATTCTTAGTTCTAGACAGGCAAATGTAATAGCTTTTCCTAAATAATCACTATTTTTAGTAATTTCCTGTTTTAGACTGCCCATATCTCTGCCATGAATTTACCCTAGCTAAAATTAGACTTGGGCTTACCGCAACTCTTACTAGAGTTAGTGGTTTAGGGTGATTTAGTGACTAAGTTCCCTTCATTTAAGCAACACTACTAGTAGTTATTTCTACGCGGCTTCTAGGAGTCTAACTCTTACCTACTCAGGTAATATCCGCCTTTCCTATAATCCTAGAATATTTAAACACGCAAGTGGGCCTAGAAGGACTATAACTATAGTACGTTACTTTGTTCTATAGCAACGACCCCCCTCATTTTAGGTTTACGGACGGATCGTTTGGAATTAGCCTTACCATGGTGACGTGTAATAGCATAGACAGTGCAGGCTATATCTATTATAAATAATAGGAATGCGCGTTGAGTTTATCATCTCGTAAGTACTAGATCTATTAAAGAGTCTGTCTATTATTCCTATTAGCCTAACCTAACCTCATTACTCGCCTCTATGTTTATCGTGGCCCTAAAATAACTACCTTTCTTTTCTATAACCTGAATATAAACACTTCTCGTTACTCCCAAAAGGCGCGTTTTAGTAAACAGGAGTCGGTTTTGCTTGGTAAAAAAAAGTCTATATTAGACCTAGATCACGATGGCAAAGTAAATCGCGGGTCTACTCCTTCTATTTGCCCTGCCTAGTCTAGTGTTTATAATATCTATGACTTGCAGTCTATGGGGCCTAGTATATTAAAAGAGAATCCCAGTCCTAGAAATTTGCTAAAGATGGATACTATAGCCCCTTCTACAGCTACTCTTAGAAGTACTAAACCGCCTAATTAAGATAATAAAACTTTCAGCGAACATGATTTTAGTGACGTTGAATCACTTCGTAGCCTTTTTTATGGGTCTGACCTAGGTTCTGGTGCTAAATCTTTAGAAGTTAGTAAATTAATTTCACCTTTAAACCCCCGAAATACGCAGCCTCTCTCTTTTAATAATGGACTAGCACCTGGAAATGAGGATATATATATAGCTATAAATTCTTGTTCTAATAGACAGGAGTCCATTCGCGACTCCTAGAATTCACGGGGTGTTATATCAGGACTAGACTTAGCCATATACTATTTAAATCTTTCCCCTTTACTGGAACTGCGTGCCCCTGATTTTGTGATCACAGACGACTATATTACTAGCTACTAATCAGACGTAATCTTCCCACTGCGGGCTGATAACCTAATGGATTTCAGTGAATCAGGCGCTATTTAGGAGAGTGATAATTAGTACACAAGTTTAAACGACGATGAGACGCGAATTAACGCTAATAAAAGAACTAATATTAGCTAATGCATTAATAGGCCTGCTTTAGATTTTAGTCCACGTACTAGAATTAGTAGTCTGGCATTAATAGAAAGCTTAGGCTTTGGCTCCCCTTACTATTCAAATAACCATGATAGTCCTATTGAAAATGCCTATAGTTCTATACGTGATTCAGAAACTTGTCCTATCGACCCCGCAGGGGAGACTTGTCTTATAGACCTTAATAATATAATTACAATGCCCCGGCAGCCACTTGTGGATGAGGAGAGGGAAGGCAATATTCTAAAAATCATAGTGGTCGTACCTAAGTCAACCCAAGTGTCACCTAATACTCTTAATAGGGCATGCCCAGAAAAAGGTGCGCAAGGATATGCTAGTGCCTAGTAACCTCTTAGAGAAGCGCCTTTCACATCCTATAAGCTAACACCCACGTGGTCTCCTTTACGAACCTCCCCCTATCTAAGTTACTAGAAGACGTTTACTAAATTCTTGCATGTTAAGATCCCAAGACGCCCTAGAGCAGAAGTGAACTAACCTTTAATTATAAGTACATCTCTTAATTAACGTGATTAGAGTTACTACTATTCATTAACCAACGGACCGTGGCGATTGGATGGAACAACTCTATTAATTAATCTTCAGGACGTAGAGCAAGTTCTAATCTTTATTAGATATTCTAGTTTTCGTGTTTATGATAGTAACCTTATATAGTCCCTTATATTCTTCCAAGGACATACTAATGGCTTACTAGTTAATAATTCTGCATGGAAGCCAAGCCCTCCTATGCCTGCTCGTGGACCCCTCTTACTTGAATAAAAGAAGCGGCTTGTGAGACTAAAGTAGGATAGATATACTTAGGATGAGATTATTCCTAAATTTCCTAGTAGGAAAAGGAGTAACCTCTAGGCCATCTATTCTCGAAGCCTAAAAGATTTTCGTAGTTTAGGCTATTAGCATAGTTAGCCCTCTAGGAATCTAGCCTTAGTACCCAGGTCATCCTTAAACAGTCCTAGTCTTGTAGAAGTAACTGGCAACGCCCGTATCAACGCTCAACGAACGAACCAGGCGATGAAGTCACAATATAATCTACAGGCAAGAGGAAGTCAGTGAATAACTAGGTTACTTATATATATTAGTACTATCCTAAGGTAATCTAGATTGTATTTTAAATATTTTAATTTTTCTACTTTGCCTACTTTTTATTAGTTTTTCTATAGGCATCTAGACTGCGGTTGACCTAATCTTTTTTAGTCTTGAGTACTACAAGCCGACCAGTACATCTCCCTAATGTAATAATACCTGCTGATGGAACTTCTAACTTAGTGTTTTATAATTAAGAGGTTACGGGGTTATTTCACTCTAATACCAAACTAGACCCCCCTGGAGGCTGTTTTTGTTCCACCGAGTCTACCTAGTGGGGTTAATTTCGACTCACAAAGCCATTACTTCTATAATGCCCACCCCCTAAGTTCCACGAGTTAGGTAATCTTTCCTTTATTTCCTTTCACTCCTAAATATCCTTCATGCTTCAGCTTCTAAGATAATTATAGTACGCCACAAAGAGCTATTTTCACCTTATTAAAACAGTTACTGACCTCCCTATTAGTTTCTTTACCAAGTTCATCCTGCCCTTAGTAAGGAACAGATAGGTCAAAGTAAGATAGAGTATAAAACTATAATTTCCTGATTCCTATAACATCTGCTAACTTTACCAAGTATCATCGCGGTCCATGGTTTTGATTTTGTGGATGTAACTAGAAGATGCTTAGTTTTCTCATGGCGCGAACCGTCGAGCGAACCAGGTGAAGTCTGGCTAAATATCTTTCTTTAGTAATAAAGCTTGTGAGCACGGTTATTTCTATACGAATATGACTCAGTTAACACCTTCATTAAACGCTCTTCTACAGACTTACCTACTAACTGCGATTCAATGTCAGCTGTTAGTATTCTAGGACTTACCATGGCATGAAGGATCCTGCTCGCTCAAAGGCCTGATTAGAACCGTAGACAAGATCTGCGTTTTCACTATCTAGTTTGTCATCCCGGCAGAACTATTTGGCTTTGTCTAAAAGTAAAGACACTATTTTATGCCCTAGCCCTTACTAACGTAGCTTGAGCACTACAACGTGAAGCTCCTTGAATAGGAAAAGAGGGCTAAAATCAAGCTTATTTCCCTATATTCCACTACCTCTTTGCACTTGATGATCCTTATACTTGGCCTTGACCGTGCCATATTAGTCAAATACTTAGAAAGTAATATTATATATTTCCTTGCTAGGTACTTCCATTCCTCCCAGGGTTCAGAGTGTATGTCCTCTTGGTTAATATAGTAGGTTGGAGTAGTAGTGACACTAATACTATCATAAGTGCATTTAATAATGTAGGTCTTTATCCACCTAGACTAGTCCATTCCATCTTTAGTTAAGAAAAGTCGAATCTTCACTATTCATGCCGGGTCACAGTGGGTGGTATATTCGTGTTCTTTAATATCTTAGTTTTCCTAAGGTGGTGTCATCCACTAGACTACTAACCAGCCAGTGTGTGGCTTAAGCGTGGCCAGAAGTTAGGTGGGTGCCGCCTAGGTGAGATTAGGGTGAGGCCGCTTTACAGTCGCGCGACTTGGGTGAGACGTGGGTGATTTGGGTGAGTACGTAATAGACAGGGTGAGCCACTCACCCTGTGCTTACCAGCGGCTGAAACGCAGAAGCAGCGTTCTGACGCTCTGTCTAGGCCTTCTGGGTTGAGTATAGTAAATCCTATCCCTTATTATTATTCTTCTTTCGCCTCTATAAGTCATCATGTTAGCTCATGCCCTGACAAAAGCAGAATCAATACCATATTAATTACGCAAACGACACATACCACAGCGTCTTTAATTGCCAATTTGATAGTAAGCCTGCGTCTATATCTGACTCGATGGCTAAATACCTTATTTAGTTTAAGCATCAGTACAACAGATATAAAGCAAACAAGTCCTAGTTTATAAAGCCTAAGAATACTAGGATTTCATGAACTATTTTAGGTATAGGCTACTCTATAATAGTAGCTATCTATAAGGGCTCTATCTCTACCTTATATAAGATAATAATATAAATTCACGCGAAAGATAAGAGTCTTTAAGGAAATAAATTACTACCTAGAGGAGGACTATCTAAACCTTATAATCCTATACCTTAACTTAATACTCTAAGGGTTATAGGAGCTTAAGGATATCCTATATACTTTATAAATATAGGATAACTTCTATTAGTTTCTTCTTTATTAGCTAGGAGATCCTGTAGACTATTACTACATAGCCTAGAGTAAGGCTATCTTAGAAAGCTATAGGAGGGTAAGGATAACTATACTCCCGAGGAAATTGCAGCTTTTATACTCCGCAACGACCGCTTAGATAAGACCATGATCGGAGAATACCTTGGGGAAGGCGACCACGAAAACATTGCTATCATGCACTCATTCGTCGATATAATGGATTTCTCTAAACGACGTTTGGTGGATGCTCTCCGCTCCTTTCTGCAACATTTCCGGTTGCCGGGAGAAGCTCAGAAAATTGATCGTTTTATGCTGAAGTTCGCAGAACGCTATGTGACCCAAAACCCGAATGCGTTTGCCAATGCTGATACAGCGTATGTCCTGTCATACTCTGTGATAATGCTCAACGTCGATCAGCACAGTAGCAAGATCAAGGGACGCCGAATGACTCCTGAGGATTTTATCAAGAATAACCGAGGTATCAACGATAATCAAGACTTACCTGATGAGTATCTTACATCGATCTTTGAGGAGATTGCCAATAATGAGATCGTCCTCGACACTGAGAGGGAGCAAGCGGCGAACGCTGGCATTCCCACATCTGCTCCGGCTACAGAGCTTATGGCTATCTACTACGCCATTGGCCTGGCATTTTCAACAGCCATGAAGAATCAGAATACCCCAGCGACGGAGATTAACCTAGTAACCATCCTCAGCGATAGCATGTCAGCACTGCAAGCCATAGCAAATATACGGAACCAGTCTGGCCAATGGATCATCCAGGCCATCACCTAATCAGCCAGAGAACTAAAGATGCGTGGGATTCCCCTCCACCTCCAGTGGGTCCCAGGCCACTGCGGCGACCCTGGAAACGAAGCAGCTAACCACCTGGCTAAAGAAGTAGTTAGGCTAGAGACAAAGCACCCTTTTTAACATCTTTTATTACAAGAAAAGGGTTTTATCCGTAAGAGAATTTAGAAGGAATAAGAATAAGAATAGAAGACCTCTAAAAAAGGTAGCCACCTCCATTAGGTAGACAAGGACCTACTCTTAATTTACACTTAGAGAATATATGGCTCACTACCTTAAAATCAGGCTTACTTACTCATATAACTCTAAACCAGCCACTCATGGCTTGCAACACATGGAAAACTACGCTATCTCAGGGAGGATGACAAGTATAAATGTAGTGCACCAGAGATAGTAGTTCATGTTCTCGTGGATTGCCTAAAACTAAAGGAGCTACGACAGAAACTACAAAGGAAGATTAGGGCGGCATTTAATAATATCTTAGACATGCTTGGAGGATGGACCCAAGGTAAGGAAGGTAAGAAGGATAATATACAAGATAGTAGCATCTTAGGTGTAGTACTAGACTTTGCAGAGGCATCAAAGAGATTTCAGAGCCGCGCGTCACTAGGCCGCTGAATGGAACACCAGGCAGGAAGGCCACCACAGGCCGTGACAAGGCTCCAAATTCGTCGGAAAGTAATAGTTTCCGGTACATAGACAAGCATAGAGAGTAGATAGTGGTGACCTGCATATCACCTGAGGCGAGGGGCCAGCGTATGAATCACACACACACACACACACACACGCTAGGGATCATGCTACACCAAATCCCCGGAAAAAAAAAAAAAAAAAAAAAAAAAGACACGGAGGTGTCGCAATATTATCCGGGAATGACAGCTCTAAGCCCCACGACCCCAAACCCAGTAACGGCCCTCCCATCAAACACGCCTGCAAAGTCGACAAACCCGCTATACGCAGCCCCCGCAACGCCCTCGCCATAATCCTCCTGGTCCCCCCGAACACTCCGAATGCGTAGCATGCCACGCCCCTGCACGCCCAGCGTCCACTTTTGCGGATAAGTCCGGCCTGTCCGCGGCGAGGTCCAGACATCGCTAGTGCTGGGCTCGAATATATCTATCGGGGTGATGGCGACAGTCGTCTCGCTGCGGAGGCGGACGTTGCTGAAGCGGGTCGTGGCCGGCGGGTCGACGCTGTCGATGCAGTAGCCCGAGATGACGAGGTCGCTGCTGGCGGAGGAGAGGTACAGGGCAAAGAAGAACGAGGTGCCGTTGCGAAGGCCCAAACGGCCCCACAGGCGGTCGTACCATGTTACGGACTTTTCGGCATTGATGGCGATGGATTTAGTGGCCGACGACGACGACGTTGGCGAGAGAAAAGAAATGGTCCCGGACATTCTGCACGCGGGTAGAGCCCAGCTGCGCAATGTCTCGTTGACATATGTAAACGCGCCCGTGCCGCCGTAGTACAGCACGCGGGAGGTCGGCCAAACAGTAATATTAATCACCACCTCGCCAAAGTCACTGAAGAGGACCATGCCCAGATTATCCAGTGCGTTGGCGGTGAATCGGTACCCGGGTCGCGCAAAATCGAACGCTTCGTGTTCCTGATTTGTGAATGCGGTCGCGTTGGTGAAGGAATGGCGCTCGAGGGTATCTAGGTCGAGTATGTTGGCTCCGTAGCCTGCGCCGGCGGCGCTGGCAAAGACGGTCATTGCAAGGAAGTACTGCTTGCCTGTCGATGTCGTTGCGAATGAGTACATAGAGGATCCGGAGACGGGTGCTTCGCTGTAGGGCAGTGTTTGGGACGCGCCAGCGTCATATAGTACGGGGATTCTGGGCTCATTGGGCGTTACTCGGTTCTGATCTGCGCGCTGGAGGGCGATGGGCTTGCACTTACATCGGTGACTTGTTCCACGTAGTCAGGGGTGAAAGTATATCCAAGGGAAAGTGCGACGGGGAGCATTGCAACAGTTGGAAAGAGCAACATGGTGGGAAATATGGCCAAGTAGGGCACGGATAGGATTCGGAAAATTGTATCGAGATCCTTAGTGCCAAATTATATTCGCCGACTGCGAGTCTGCCTCCAGGTCCACCTCTATATATATTGTACGGAGCTAGTCTTGATTTCTGTATTTTTCTTTTTTTTTTTTTATCTTCTTGCGCTCCAGTCCCTAAACCCGCCTCACATCCATCCATGCCGAAATATACGCCCGAAAAGCTGACTAGCCGCAAACTCCACCCACCCTCGCTTCCCTGCAGTCTCCCTCCGTCTCACGCCCTCGAAATCTTAAACCCCCCAGGAACCAAGTGCTGGAAAACACCATGCGGGTCATACTTGGTCGCGACACCGCGCAGGAACTCCACATTATCCTCCCCGTACCCAGCGAGTGGATTCTGCGTGCGATCCGCATAGTTTAGATAGATATATTCTCTAAAACTGCCCGTTGATTTCGCATAGATGTCTAGCATTTCTCGCGAGGATTGGGAAAGCTCGTAGAAGAAGCTATCATCCGCGGAGCTGTCCCAGCTGTAATCCCATGCGATGTCTATGGTAGTTATTGTTAGCGAGGGGTTCGAAGGTCTATCTACAGAGATAGTCTTGAGCGGCACAGGGAAGACGAGAGCATACTAAGCATTGCCTTGTTGTACCGTTCTAGCCCAAGTATATTCCCGCCGCGCGACTCGCTGTCCGCCCAGAAGCGCGGGACCCAGGGCTGGACAATTGCCTGAAGGACATAGCTCGTGCTTTGTGGGTGGGAGACGGCGGCGAGTCTGATTCGCTCGGACTGGATTGCGAGCACATTGCTGAGGATTTCGGCGCGGTTGAGGTACGTGCCTGTTTGGACGACATGGCTAGCAGATGTGAGAGCTTAGATGGGGCCATCTGAGTATCGCATAGAGTACAGGGGCAAGCGGTGCCAGACAGATAAAAAAAATCTATAAAGCTCCTCCGCGAGAGACACACCGGAATTGGGGCGAGAAATTATTCTCCCGTGTCATCGCGAGGATCGTTGTTCGGCGCAGCGTATGCGTGATGTTGGGGATGCGGAAGAATCCATCAAACGCCGCAGGCCACGGCACTGGCCTCGTATAGGCGAGCGAAGAAAAGATCGCCTCGCGCTGCGTCGTGGAATTATAGCTGAAGAACCCCACCCACGCGGCATTGGGGTCCGTTGGGATGACGCTCTCGGTGAACCGTGTCGCGGCAGCAATGTACTGGGGCGCTACCGAGGTGTCGTAGACGACGGCGCCACCCCATACGTCCTCCGCGGGAAAAACAGTCATGGTGAACAGGGTTACGATGCCGAGGTTACTCGACCCGCCCTTGAGCGCCTTGAAAAGGTCTGGGCTTTGATGCGGCTTTGAAGACACGGTCTTGATGGATCCGTCTGCTAGGACCACCTCGTACCCGACGACATTGTCGCAGCTCAGGCCAACTCGGGCAGCGAAGAACGAGTCCCCGCCGCCTGTCAGGAAACCGCCAACCCCGACGGAAGACGAGCGGCCCCCAGGCATCATGACGTTATCCCGGAGGAGGGTCTCGTACACTGCATCCCAGCGCGCCCCTGGTTGGATCGAAGCCAGGCCCGTGGTGGGGTCATAGACGGTCTGGTTTAAAAAGGACAGATCGATCGTAACCCTGGACTCGATGTTGGACGAGCCCAGCGAGGCGGTATGGCCGCCGCTGCGGACAGCGAACAGGCAGGGTCCGAGCTCCGCTGTCGAGGAGGTCAAGCTCTGGATTGTAATGGAGACATCCTGCGCTGTGAGCGGCTGCACAATGCAGGTGGGATGCAGTTGGGCGTTTGCTGCAAAGTATGAATTGAGAAACTCGTCATACGCGACGGAGTCGGGAAACGCGGTTCTTTCGCTGACATCGCTGGCCTTGAGAGCTGCGCACTGGATTTGAGATTAGATAAAAAAGAGCCTGACAAGCGATTGGATGTGGTGGTCTTCTTACGCATAAACTCGGGTTTCCCGGAGCAGCGGCCTGCGCGAGAGCGAACCAGGACATTATTGGGCTGAGGAGGGCGCCCTGGTGAGCGAACTTGGCTATCATGGAAGACCTCATGATCTGATAGTGCAAAATTCAGGACTGAAAACCGACGGCCTGCAACGAGCAGTCAGGCGCACTTACTTTATGCAATGTGCGACAGTACAAGAGATTAAATTCGAGACTGGGCTGAAATCCTGTCAACAATCAGATGATTACGAACGCTAAGCCGCCCGATTTAAAACCGACCCTGGGCCCAGATGAAATGTGGTCGTGGCAATGATATTAGCGGCTTGTCTCCCTGAGTGAAAGCCACCCTCCCATTTGAATTAGTATCATCGCGCCCACATGACGTTCTCTTCCTCAATGGAGAGCCCCAGACTCCAAGTGGTCATTATTGGCAGCTCGATATCCGGTCTTACCTTGGCCCACTGCCTCGAACTTGCAGAAATCGACTATGTAGTGCTCGAAAAGCACAATGACATCCTGCAAACAATCGGCGGGTCGATCGGCCTCCTCCCCAACGGGTGCAGGATCCTCGATCAGCTCGGTGTCTACGATGAGATCGAAAACGTGGCGTGCCCCGTCCGGATATCCCACATGACGTATCCGGATGGGTTCACTTTTAGCGATGGGTTCCCTGCAGATCTTCGAGAAAGGGAGGTTCTCCCCCTCCCCTCCCCCCCTTAGGCAGATACCATTTGCGCTGCCTGAGATCCCGGTTCGAACCAAAGCTAAACAAAGAATACTATCTAGATTCGGGTACCCGCTGTCGATTCTCACCCGCAAGGAACTCATCCAAGTATTGTTCCGGACCCTGAAACATCCAGAGCGAGTGAGAACAGGCCAGAAAGTTGTGGCAGTGACAACCCATCGGGAACGCGCCCTGGTCTCGACGGCGAGCGGCCAAGAATTCCAGGCCCACCTTGTCGTTGGGGCTGACGGCGTCCACAGCATAACTTGATCAGGGATGTTGCATGCGGGAGCGCGCTTTCACCCGGAACGGGTGACACAGGATCAGGAAAAGGGCACGTGAGAAAATGCTCCGATCGGGTTCGAGACTGATACTGACGAATCTCTGTATAGCACTCCGCGTGGAGTACAGCTGCATCCTCGGCCTATCGGCCCAATCGCCGGAATCAAACCCACAGAGCAGGTAATATCCTGCCACAAAGACACAAGCATCCTGGTGTTCCCTGGAAAAGATGGGCGCATTGGCTGGGGCCTGATTGCAAAGTTGAGCAACGCCTGCATTTACCCAGACTGCCCGCGGCGATTGTCCCCCGAGGAGATCCAGGTCATGGGCGAATCAGCGGCGGATTTACAAGTGTACAGAGATGTGCGGTTCAGGGATCTCTGGGAGCGAACTGCACCATCCGCACGGGCCTCTACCATGCTGCATGAGGGTCTGTTCGAAACGTGGAGCTGCGGCCGGATTGTCTGTGTTGGTCATAGCATTAGCAAGGTAAGCGAGCAGCAAGTGTTCGACCAATTGACTTGGCAACCATCGGAGAAATCTGCGCTCCTAGATTAATTACTCGGGGTCTCGGCTGACAAGTTTCAAGATGACGCCCAATTTCGCGCAGGGTGCAAACACGGCAATTGAAGGCGCGGCTGTTCTTGCAAACGTGCTCTGCGAGCTGAGCCCGCTTGAAGCACGATCCGAGCACGAGATCGCCGCCCTGCTACACAACTATAGCCGGCGCCAGCTAAAACGCCTCCAAATCATACATGCCATTTCAGAGTCTGTCACGCGCGTCCATACCCGTGCGAATTGGATGAGGAAGGCTCTGGGACGCTATGTCTATCCGTATGTCCCTGGCCTTGCGCTTCGGACATTTGGTGGTGTCATCGCCCCCGCGCCGTACTTGGAGTATGCTCCGTTGCCTAGGAGGGCAGCTGAACTTGCGGCATGGAAATGTTCGGGGAATAAAAGCGCCAACGCGGCAAAATGGATTTGTGTGCTCTTTATCGCACTGCTGTCTTGTACCCTGTGGTATGCCATTAGGGCCTCCGAGTAATAGGTGACAATCCATGATATGAAATTCTTGGGCAACTGATACGTCACTTACCAACAAACACGCCGAAATTCACTTCAATTCATAACGTAGTGCTCCCTGGTATACCCATAAATGCAATGCAACCAGTCACTCCAATTTGATACGCTTCGAAAGCTCCCGATCCAACCTCCAAACCAGCACCACAGCCATCCCGGCCGGCGACGCAACCATCGAGCACACCACTACCTCGAGTCCCAACCTCCGTCGCCTAATGGGGCCTGGGAAGTCTCTCAGGAAAACAGCCACAGCCCAAAGCAGCAGACTCGCATTTACAATCAGATGGTCCCACTGCAGAAAGTTCGTAATTCTATCCTTAAGGGACTCGAAGGTGAAGCTATGGATTTGCCATGGCGCCCCTGGTACGTACACTCCCAGCATTGTCGCTAGGAGAATCTGCTTGGCGTCGTGCGAGATCACAGATGGAGACGGGAGGGCCACTAGTGGTATGTATGCGTAGTAGCTGATTGCCAAACAAGTCTTCAGGTATGGGATTGAGCGGAAACGGGCGCAGTGTTGACGATTTTCTTTTTCTTCTTCCCAGCGAGGTGGGATTATCATCGCACAGTAAATTGGCAATATCAGGCACTGGGAGCAGACCATTTGCAGTAGTTCAAGCCAGGCAAGCCTAGTGAGTTGTTATCCATGTGCATCGCAATGGAGGTCACTTTGGTATGCATCGGGTCTGACTCGTACCTCCATACAACACTGGACACCGATCGACGCCTGCTCCCCTCCATGGCCAGCAATACATACGAAACGCCAACTGTTGCCGCCAGTGCAATTGTCAGTAGGGACAACGCCAGCTCATTGCCAGTGCAGGCGGGCAAGAAGGTGATGACCAGTACTTTGATTGTCCGGTCAACGGTGGCGATGCCCGTAAAACTCCGGCGGAGGGCGCCGTCTGAGATTGATGGCAGCAGCCCGCGATACCAATGTTCGAAGAGGCCGCCTTGATAGCTGGCAATCCACACAGTGTATACTGCAGCAGTAGAGAGCGCGATTCTGAGAGAGCGCTGGTAGGCTGCGCATGACCGATCCTGCCAACGCCACTCTCATCTTGGAAGTTTCAGGGGTTGGATATCCATCAAACATCCCAATCACCTGCTCTTGCTATCCCGCTGGACTAGGGCTCTGGACGGTTCCTTTGAAGCCGGGAATATGCCGATGGTCAGCTGAACTCTAGGTATGCAATTCATTATCTGCAGGCAACGTGCATTGTAGCCTCCGTCTCATAGGATGATGATGTCCTGCATTGCTTCAAATTCGGGAATACAAGGAGATAGTTTTGGTCCGATAATTTATGCTGTACTACCCTACCCAGAGAAGGATGTCTCTTGAGTAGTAGCCGCGCTGTCCCGCTTTATCTTAATAAGATAGCTCGAAATGGGTAGGGAGCGCTGTCCCTCCTTCCCGTCAGCTTCCTCGAAGGCACTCGTCAGTTCTCAATGTGGATCTACCGAATAGCAATGGCTCCCTCTCTTACGATTATAATCTCGTTATTAAGAAGCCTTTTGGCAACGTTGCATGTGCGGTCAATATTATATTCTCGGAGAATATCTGTTAGGGCAGGCTAGTTCCGTTAGATCAAGCTCACCACTTACTTCCGCTTGCGGACCATGGAGTTAGGGCCGCGAAAAATGTGCTGGCAGGCTAGGTAAACTAGCCTTTCATCAGGGTCGCTATGCGCCATCTCAAGGGACGAGGGGTTAGATTTACGAGTGCAAGGGAAGATAAAGGTTGAACATTATATATCAACCAGCTTCCGCAAACGGTCAAACAGCCTCTAGAGAATCCGCTTTCGTCTTTAGGTATGACTTTGGCATCGTTTATTGGCGCGTTCTAGCTGCTGCCTTGTCCCATTTGGGAAGCCGCTGATAGCCAGGTTCAATCAAATAATATGAGTTTATCATCATATATATGGTGGTTTCCATGTACCAAGGACTACGCAGAAGTCGACCCTTTCTTATATCAGCACCCTCATGAGGCTCTTGCGTATGATGACGGAAGGGTTCTTATTATAGGCCTTCGGGTACCATAGCTAGACGCTTTACACAGTCAACTACTTACGCTTACTTCTAATTATTTCTCTAAACGATAGTCTAGGATAGTAGACTAATGTATTCATTACATCTGTCCTTAAACTTCCAAGCTACTTCTACACGAAATGCGACAAGGAAGGCCACCACCACAGTATCTGCAACAAGACAGTCCTCAAGTGTGTTCCGTGCGGAGACCCACATGAATTGTACAGTAAAAACTCTCAGAGCTTTATCCTGTGTAACATGAATAAAACGCTCCGAATAATTCAGCTAAATGTAAGGAAACAGGGTACAATACACGACAGCTTAATAAACGACAAAGAAACTTAGCACGCAGCAGCAACAGCATTCCAAGAACCCCAAGCGAGAAGAATTAACAACCCACTCTTGACAACTCCGATAGAATATCCAATGGACGAAGATGGTCCCCGTGGTCAATTACATTGACTCCAATTGGCAGGTAGTTCTAGTACGGGAGCGTTGGGAATAGCTTCAAGTTTGTTAAGTAATATATATTTTTTCTGCGGGTGCGGATAGGTGGTGAATTACGTTAACACCTCCAGGTTAAAAATGCAATATCCATTATTCCACGTGAACCAGCGGCGTCCAATGGCCTCAGATCGGTGCTCCCAGGTTTTATTATGGTGTCTGACGGTTCGTTGTCGTCCGTGTCTTGTGTTTGGAAGAGCTCGGTCTTTAACGGGACGTTGCGCGTTACAGCGACACTAGGCACCCAGGACCTTTCAGTCTCCTCTAGAAGACCTAGTAATTCGGCAACTCTATCTTTCAAGGCATTCATTTTACACTTTAGGAAGTTCTTTAAACAGTCGTCAGGGTTAGTATCGTGGTGCTAATCTTATCCTGCCCTAAATTTCTTCGATGGTGGCGGGAGCTTCAAAAGGGAAACATTAGATAGATTTTTAGTAAGTGCGTTTCCTATAACATGCGCCTTACTATTACTTATTGACTATTCTATCTTCACCACGTTAGGACTAGCCGGCATCTAGGAGGTTGCAGTCGGACTTGCGTCCAGTTGCTAGCAGATGTCCTGGAGCGAGACATTGCCCCAGATCAAGCGAAGATAGTAGTGTGCTCTTTTCTCATCAGCCTCCCGTAGCTCCTCAAAGAGTACCCGTAACAGTTTGTTGTCCTACTCAAGTGTGTTGATCCTGCGGCGTCCTTCGCCTTCTTCATCGATCACACAGTCTATGCTGCTAAGACGGCAGAGGTTGCATGGGCTGATACCATCGCACTATTTAGAAAGTTAGAGGAAGATTTCTTAGACTAGAGATGAATTATACTTTTCTTCTCCGTTTCCGGCAAGCCAGGCAAGTAGTGGTTAACTTTCGGAGCCGCGGGCGGAGGTTAATGTCATTCTAGAATAGTCCGTCTCCTGGTCCTGGAGCAATCGCCCGGGGCGGTTCCTAGCTGCCCATATTGCAGAGAATAATAATTAAATCTATAACTTGTACTGTTAACGTGTAGGCAAAGCTTACATGGAGTATAAACCCTTGAAGTTAAAGAAGAGAAATATGGTCTTCTTATTTATTTAATCCCACTGGAAATTAGTACCGTGTTGAAGGATCGAAGACGATTAGCGGATGGCGTTTTGCGTGTTAAAAAGCACAGGGCAACCATAAGGAGCTGCGTTACGGGACCCGCGAGTTGATCTTCGCGGGAATTTCCACATAAGGTGATCCATTAGTGTCTGTCCCACAATCACTCCCGTTGAACATCATCCGCATGCAGTTTGATACTAGCTTCCAAGTAAACGCTATAACCTAGCCAGATAATCCAGATCCCAGCGCGGTGCTCTAACGTACATCAGAATATGAGTGATGGCCAAATTCGCGGCTCGTAGCTCCAAATAGAAGTCGATTTTTTCCACGCGATAAGCTCCTCCTGACAGAGTGATCAGCTTCATCGGCGCACACTACTAAAAGTCCTCTATTAACGTACAGTAGAATCAGGCCGACTCATCTCGGACTGCCTGACAAACATGAGATTAATCTGCATCCGCCAAGACGGGTATTCACCGAGTGCATGGATCGGTCTCGCCCTCGTTCAGTCGCAAATCTCCGCCGAAAATGTAGTGCAGCGTAACTTACATGACGAAACGCGGAGAACCAAGTGCCATCCTAGAGAGTTTTATCAACTTAATGACTCAGGCTTGCCGCCCATTGTCCTCTTTAGCTTTACCAAGCAAAGCCAGAGGGCGGAAGCTAACACAAAACAGTGGGGAGGGGGCTTCATCCTCGGCTATGAGCACGGTGGCCCTGACGTCTCTCGTGTTCAAAGAGGAGCTTGCGTTGGCGGAATGGCCTGAGCGGGCCTGAGCGTCCCTGCGATTGGTGGCGAATCATAAGCTAAAGTAAGATTCCGTCAACTGCGCACCTGTCCCAGTTTTGTTGATCAAGGATTCTACATTGACATGCTTATGGAGGAGTCGCTTTGATTTCCGTGACCATGACCATCAGCAGGCGGTCAAGGCCCCCTAACTTACTGCACGCTTCCCGGTCTGCGCGGCAATTTCCTAGGAAATCAACGCGAAGCGGGATACATCGGCCGTCGCCAGAGGTACTTACGTGGTCCACACCCACGCTGCTGCGTCTCCCCGGCCTCCTTGGAATCTCACTCTGCCAACCACAGCAGTGACGCTCGCCAAATTAATCTAGCTCTATATCTTGCTGCTGTAAGAACTTTCTATGATCAAAGAGATAGGTTTCGTGAAAGAGTAACTAATGCCTTAACTCGCAAAGTGCATCTTCGTAGAAACTGCACCTGCCACCTCTTTGCCGAAGCCACCAGGATATTGACTTGGTAATTGGTGAATGTGGGGAAAGCTGTGCACCCCAGAAAATCTATACAGAAAACTATCATTGGATGCTAAATTCCATTGCTGCCTATGAAAGGCTTTCGGCGACTTCAATCCACGTGGATTCAATCTGTTGATCTGCTCAAAGCTTAGTGCGCCGTAGTTACAGCAAGCGAATTACACGGCACTACTCATGACTCTACCAGGTTATATTCCCAAATTACCTCTTAATATAAATCTAATTTGGATCCCTGGTTAGTGCTAGCAGGCGAGTGTCAACCTTAGCAACCCAAGGGGGCAGACTCGATCGGTGAGGGTACATGCATTATGAGAACGGATTCAAGCATACTAGGAGTGGTTGGTTTTCAAATCTCTTTAGCTACAAGAGCATCTTAGGAAGACATATAAGCCTCCTAGACTGTGAATCAATTGTCCTCCCACCTACATCCGCATCCTCATCTCCTTTAAAAGAACATATCCTAAATCGCGCCCGTCCGAGCTACGTGCTGATTTATTGGAAGGTCACCGATCAAGAAGACTACTTCCTTCTCTGCTCCTCAATGCAACGGTGGAACAGCGAGAAGCTAGAAACGCAGGTTCTACCAGCTTGTGCGCCAACGTCAACTACAGTCAAAGGCAGCCTCGCAGGAACTGATGCTATGGAAAGGTAAAGTTGTCGCCTTTTAAAACCAAACTAGACTAATCATAGTAAAGTCAGAGAGACAGGGTAGATACCAGCCTAGCAGTTCCACCGAACACCCCAGCGGCCGGAGACGACCATATCAACCAAAAGCCAGACCCCATGGAGCTAGAGGGTCGAATGATAATTGCAATGAAAACTGTGCAGGTGGGCAAGATTCCTCACCCTGCGAGGCTTTACCCTGCTCAGTCAGGCAATGTTGAGATGATACCTGGTAGCAGTGGTTCTTATTAGCAAGTTTCACGCTACCATAGACAAGCCATGTTACTGATTGTGTCTCATCATAGAAGCAAAAACGTTCGTTATCTTCAAATTTGTTGCAAGACTTGAGAAGAGATAATATTTCTGATATTTGTTGAGTTTGACTGCCGCTAGTACCGCCTAGATGAACAGTCCTGATAAGTGCAAAAAATCACTGTGCTATATCCTGTGCAAGGCCTGAAACCTGGTAGAAGGAGAGACTTTCGTTCTCTTTATCCTAAATAACTTTCAATACAGCTTCTTTCGCAATAATGTGCAATGCGCTCTGCTCGTAAAGGGTGACTGGTTCTTCCAGGTACCTCGTGTCCAACATAGGAGTTGGTGGAGCTTTCTCTTGAACCTCCGCAGCTGCTTCGGCGCCTAACCACTCCAGATAGTATGTGATATTATCAGAACCGGTGGAATGCTCAATCTGTATTTGTAGGGGGCCCGAGGAGCCAACTCTATAGACTTTGGAGGTCTCTCCAGGGTTCACACGTCCATATTTCTTCGCTTTTTGGATTAATATGCAATAATTTAGCTCCGCCTCGAGGCTGGAAAGGAGGTCTTTGTAGCGGCTATTGTTGTTGAACAAGAGGTATGCTTCTTGGTACTACGCGAGTATTCATACTAACCAGGCTAGGTCTTTTGAACCCACGATGAGTGACAGTTAGATTCAAATCCATTAACGGTTGAACTTCAAAAATTTCACGACGAGCAATCTTACAAAGGACTATTCAGATATAGGCCGCCATGAGATTGTAATACCTTCTAAAATGCTGTATGGCTCCCTTTCACAGGCCAAAAAGACAACAGAGACTTAGAAGCAACATCGTGGACGACCGAGGTAACGATTCCTTGATTCCATCATGTCTCTAAAATAGTTCGACAGCAATGATCGTACAATCATCCGAGCACAAGGAGGGACTGAAAACAAATAACTGCTTGGAGAAGCGAGACGTGATATTCCACACATGTGCCTAACGTAAACTGAACAAGGCCCCAAGTTAGGGCACATACTCACACATCCATATTCTTCTTCAGCAGTAGCTTCGCCACCCCCTCATGCCCCTCCTTCGTCGCCCATACCAGCGGTGTCCAACCATCATTATCCTTACTGCCTGTATTAGCATTCCTCTGTAGCAGCAGCTTCACCGTGCCCTCGTGCCCGTTCCTGGCCGCCCAAGATAGCGGAGTCTGGCCATTCTTATCCTTAGTTTCGATATTTGCATCCTTCTCTAGCAGCAGCTTTATCACTCCCTCATTCCCCTTCTCGGCCGCCCATAGGAGCGGGTTCCAGCCAGTAATATCCTTAGATTCAACATCCGCATCCTTCTCTAGCAGCAGCTTTATCACCCCCTCATGCCCATTCTCGGCGGCCCACGAGAGTGGGGTCCAGCCATCATTATCCTTAACTTCTATATTGGCATTTTGCACTAGCAGCAGCTTCACCACCTGCTCATGCCCATTCTTAGCTGCCAATATAATAGGGAATTGGCCATCATTATCCCGAGCTTCTATGTTGGCATTCTGCTGTAGCAAGAGCTTCACCACCTCCTCACGCCCGTCCTTCGCCGCTCGTGAGAGTGGGGTCCGGCCATCTTCATCTTGAGACTCAATATCGGCATAATCGTTAAGCATTTGAACCTCGGTGGTCATCTCTAGATCGATCTCATGGAAGAGAGGACGGGTGTTGTAGCGTAACTTCTCGAGAAAATGGAACTGAGGGTGGGGGAGAGAATTGATCGTCCTGGACCGGTAATGGGCAGACAAGCGGAATATTGTAGTCAAATGTAAAGTCAAATAGCAGCAACATCGTTCCTCGCTTCAGAAGATGTCCCGGAAGGGTCTGGTTGGCAGACAGTGTGAGCGAGACGGCGCGCGCAAACAACAGTCCTTGGCAGTTCATGAAGGCGTCCTTCTGCGGACAGCAGAGCGTGCGCACGGGCAGGGAGCCATAGAGGATGAGCTCGAAGAGCGTAGCAGGACACCAGCCATTCCCCAACGGACCCCCCGTATCCGTGGTGAGTTCGTAAGGTCGATCGACGGGGCACGGGACGCCACACTCGGTCCAGGTGCAGATGTTGAGGTACTGCTCCATGTTGCCAGCATCGCAGCAGTCGCTCTTCGACCCGCGCCAGCACCAATCCCCATAGCCGCCTCCGTGCAGGGTCCCCTCCCACCCCAAGTTGTCGTTCGTGACGAGGACCTCCTCGGGCTTGCACTTCCCCGAGCAGTCCTTGCTAAACACGTTAGTCCCAAGGCGGCCTCCTGTCAAGCTGCCTGAGGCACCCGCTGTGACAATATTACCATATTCTAAATCTCTAAAGAGTATGTATTGCACGGGTATTCAGCGCTTTATCATATAAGGCCTACTATTTACCGACCCTATGAGAGCTGTCTAGTCTCTTTCCCTTACATAAGGAGTTAAGTGCTATAGGGAGGTGGTCCTGTGTTAAAGGAGTAATAGCGGAGCCAAAGAGTTGACAAAGAACTTTGATACGAAAAAGGAAGATTTGTATTTGATGCATATAAAGAAGATCGCATTCTTGAACTACAACTAGTATTTGAGGTCGTTTACGGGCCCCCAAAGCAGTTGATGGCAATGTCCAAAGCAGCCGCGTATCAACGCTGCATTTGGAGCAGCTTTTACGCCGAAATTAAAGTGAGATACGGACTGATTAAGCAGTCTACTTGGGAGTTAGAGAGAATCAATTGATTGACAATTTAGATCATCCGCCAAAAACAGAACAGTTTGAGTGGCAAGTATCACGTAACTTGATCACAGAAGAATATTGAAAACCGAAATTAGTTCAAGAGGCAATGCTTTTTGGGAAGATAGCAAACCGCAGCTGGAGGCCTTTTCTCCCTGGTGTGAGAACACAGCTACTGTGCCGGAGGAAGCCCCCGGTGTCCCTGCTCCCACTTGCCATCATACTTCCACTCGGTGATTGCAGTAACCTGGTGTCCATCCTGGAAGTACACGCGGATATTACACTGATTGTGGGAGAAGGCGGAGGAGTCCTTTCGGGATCCCTCCCAGCTTACAGCGGCTACTTGGCTTCCGGGCACGCAGGGCTGATCAAATTGACCTTCCCTCCAGTTATCATTAGTTGTCAGCCTCTCTTTGATGCGGTTATCGCGGTCGACATAGTAGACGCGGACTTCGTTGTTGCCGCAGCGCAAGGCAGTAAGGTCGGTGCGCGGATTAGCCTTTGCGATGGAGAGATTGCCGTTTTTCCAGGTTCGACCATCGCGGCAGCAACGCTCAGTTATGGCCATGTTCTCGTCTTGGCAGAAGAGTCTACGCTGCGTTAGTAGTTATTCTCCTAACCAAGGGCAGGTGAAATGGGTTGGTGACCTGATGGATGTATCTTGACCCTGAGTAATGGCACACGCCAGGCCTGTTCCCGGGAGAGCGGGACCGAGATTGGCCATCTGGGACCAGCCACGGCCGGAGTCTACATGTAGTCCGTTATTAACTGTATAGGCAACCCGCCGGAGGTAGAGAATGTGAAGTTACCGTCGCTCCCATACTCCTGGATACTATTGTCCAGGAGCTGCACATAAAGACGCAAGGGCTGGTTCGCGTCCTCAACATAGCACGCCACTATCATTGAGTATGGCGCAACGAGGACATTGGCCTGGTTAAGGTCCCCATCTTGCCATCTGCCCCTGGGGTCGCGCTGAATCTGTCTAGCGACGTTGCCCTCGGCGATGTAGAAAACATGTACCCTCTACCAAATGTTAAACCTGATGATAAGAACAAAGCCGGAAACAATCTGGAGACTTACCTCATCCTGATTCCGGCGAACAGCTGCAATGGGAGTTCCGGGGACTCCATGCTTGAGAATGGAACCTTCGTCACCGCCCGCCCACTGACCGTTCTCGAAGCGGGCTTCTCTGATACCACCGGAGGTATCCTGGGAGTACACGTGAATGTTTTCTTTATTGCTCAAGGCTGCAATTGCGCACCCTGTACAGTGAAAAGCAAAGAGGTCAGGATCTAGGAGGGTAGACCAAAGTTGAGGAACATACGGAAGCGGATCTGCTGGGCTCCAGCGTGGGCCATGATAACTTAAGTCGAGTTGAGCGGGTATGCTAGTTTGTATGAGCACAGGTCAATAATATAGAATAGATACTAATATGAAATAATAAAGACTAAGAGACAATGTGTCTCGATTAGAAGAAATAGAGAGATTCTTATAGAGGTGCCTTCCAGGGAACTACGGCAGCAGCCATAGTTTGGCTTCAATCTCCGGACTCCGAGAGGAATCTCGATAACAACCTGCCCGTGGTAGATTTTCTGGCAAACATCAAGCACGATATGTTGAGCAGATTTAATAATGCTTTGCGGATGGTCTATGCTAGACAGCGGCAGGGAGTGACTCCGGCTGCATGATCCAGTGATGGACTCTCATCAACAATCACTAACCAGCCATCATAGCTCTCGGTCGCCGGGCACATACGTGGCAATATCTTTGAGGAACAGAGTCTGTTGTGGCAGATCAGAGCCCTTGAAGTTTGAAATCGTCCTAGCATGACTGTGTCACAGCACAAGCCCAGAAGCCCTATACATGGACAGGTCTAAACGTTCTTAATCGTGTCTAGACCTCGGCGCTTGTGCAGGTACTGTATGTGACAGTTGAAAGTCCGGCGTGCAGGGAGAAACAGACAAGTCACACGAAAAGCGGGGTAAGGCAGGATCTGACTGTGCATCAAGTCTTAACAATCGGAACCTTTTGATAAAAAGAAAAATTGTTGTTTTTAGAAACATATGCTCCTTGGACCTCGAGTCGAGTTTAATGCACAACAGGATCTAGTCCCTTAAGACCCTGCCTGAAGAATCAAAGACTTCCTTTTGTGATAGCTTTCGCATATACACCGGACTTGCATAAGCACAAACCAGAGAAAGAAATCTAGGGTTAGATGTCTCGGTTAATGACGCAGTCATCAGGCACCAGGATGTTGACTACCGTTGTTTTGGTCCATGAACCATTGTCGTCTTCTGGCATGACAGGGCGCGGCCATTTACCAAGAATCCTAAGAATCATTTGTTACACACACAGGGAAGTCCTCGGCCCTTCTAGCCTTTTGATTATGCATCAATTGCCTTTCATGCAATATAGGTCTTTGAGCTTTGCGGATTCGGAAGGGCCTGTGATGCGTGATGTGTAACCTGACATGCATCAACATTGAGGAGGTAAACAACCGTCAAGCACCGTACCGTAAGCAACGCCACTGTGCTTCAAGCCCCCAATGCTTTTCACGCACTCATCGCGGCGCATTGACCCATTATGAGGATAATCGGAGCACCCAGCTCCAGGCCTGGACCACGCCACCTTATTGCGTATTTTTACCAACGGTGAAATGTTCATTGCAATGGAGTATATAATTGGTCTCTAATATCCGTAATACCCACCATGAGCCTGTTAACCCCGCAACGGTGTAACAGGATGATAGTGGGGTGGTTCTAGTTCTGGATATCCATGTGACATGGTTTCATGAAGCATAGCTCCGTGTTACCTGGTGTAAATCCCGGGAATGGTCCAAGCCGCTAAACGAGGGATTTGCGTCAATTTCTGCAGCGCGACTTTGTTGTGGACTGGGGTATCCAATTCCGTAAATCGTATGAGGACTGAAGCCCTTGAATAGACTTAGTTATAGTCGCACCGTCTGGTGTCTCCCTATATGTCCACCAGCTCAGGCACATCACTGGTTATATTTACTATACGATCTCCTCGTCCATAAGCACGTCCAGCTTCATGGCCAGATACTCGATGACCCAGGAGTGATCAACAACCCATTTTTTATCATTGATAGCTGGTCCGTGATTACTAGCAACTCACTTTTATGCACTGTGCTAATGACCTGGTTGCTGGATTTGGAATATACAATAACAAAAGGATACAGAGCTTGGTATGATTGAGGCTTGCGGGCCTATAGCTAAGCTTCCAACGCCTGGCTGAGTCGAAACTTGCACTCAACAAAGCACAGCACAATAGAAGCCCCAGGCACATATTAGACCAGCGACACAGCAGGATGCCATGAGAGAAATATCAGGGTAAAATCCTAAACATAGGGCTGCAATTATCGAAAGGGTTTTATGGCTGTAGACTCTTCTAGCTTACAGACTCGCCCCGTCTATCATTCCTAAGCAGTCAAGTGTAGTTGAACAATTCACTCTATCATAGAAGCTTATTCCGCACGCAGATGGGAATCCCTACATGATTTGATTTCAACCACCTTTCTGGTTGGAGATTGACGTGGTGTAATTGAGCAGATATTAGCAGTATTTTCCCTCCACATGAGCGTCTGTAATGAGCTCCAAATCTTACCGTCGGAGTTTATATTACCAGCTTGTATCTCTATCGGAAACACCTATATAGATCGCTGCAAGGTTGAGCTACCAGAAGCCAGCAAGATTGACTTAACGCTAAATCTTGAAATATTAGGTTAATAATTATGCCACGCTCCCACGACTATTCTCGCATACCATCATTTTCAGGACACCGTCCTTGAAGAGTGCGAGAAGCCTTTTGCTTGGTACAGAGACGTCTTTTTCAGAAACCACATATCCTGAGAACGCTCACTCCCTACGCATCACCAGGAGCTCAACAGGCATAACTCCACCCTCGACACACAGAGCGTGACTGTTCTTCGTCCCGTTTTACTTCAGCTATACAATTTATCGGGGAGGACATCAATCCTCCCCTCGAGCACTGCAGTCCTCTCACTGAAATATGCCTTCAATACAATCTTCCACAAGAGGAAATAAGAGGCCTCATTTTCGAAGGGAACACGATCACCGACTAGAATAGACAATATTTTGTGATTTTCCCCTCGATTATTGCCATCGCCACAACTGCCGTAACTTTCTAATCCTTGATATTTCCATCTCAAGGCTATAGCGCTGTTAACTGCTTCGATACTATTGATTTCCACGGAAACCCGCCCTTCCTATCTCCACAGGAAGAGCATGACCAGGAGAATATACTGAAGCACGCAGCTCATCAGTCGATCCGCACAGCGCTAGCACACTGATTTTTGTGTTCCAAAGGTCATACGACCACTGTTATCTTCGCTATAGGCAACGTCTACCCATCTTGGTTTTATCTAGATAGTATTGGAAAGAGATGTCGAAAAGAACAAGTTTTGCTGTGTCTCTGCATTCAAGACATCAACTTTGCGAACTAAATGGAAGCTTATAGCTGTCTTGCAAGTATTATATGACTTCATCAGGATTGATTCAGCCTTACACATCCATAAAGTTATCACTTAGTTTGAGTGATCAGCAGCACCGTTGCCGAGTCTGCTCTAAGAACTTAAAATAAAGTACACTAACTTAACGTACATAGAACTCAGTCCTTACTATCAGCTCGCCCAGGCTGACAGATATGCTCCAGATAGCGTAGCCTAAGAGAGGTAGGGTGGCAAATCCCTGATCCTTTTAATCGCAGCTACGAATGCATAAAAGAAGGTGCATCCGGCACTCCAACCAATTTGCAACCAGGCATCGTGAAATGGTCTTATTTTAAAACGGACTGTATAGCAAATATTTAGCAGGAAATGGGATAACTAATTGTCGGGAAAGATTATCTAGAAAGAAAAGAATGAAACTTCCAAGCTTCAAATAACACTACGGTCAAGAGGAGAGTGAAATTTTGTGTCAAATCATAGGTGCAATTCCAAAAGCTCCTGGCCCGCAGAAGGACGACTAATAGGCCGGCGGAAGCCCCTTTAACCTTTCCCCCCCTTTTTGCCATCCTGTCTTCACTTCGGAATAGTCCTAACCTGATGTCATCTCTCGAACTACACGCGGAGGAAATAGTCATTGTAAGATCGTCAGCTTACAGCCACAACCTAGCTTCCTCGCACGCAGCAATGGCCAATCTCGCCCTCTGCAGCGAGCACCACAGGTCAGCATCTGTTTGGTATGGATACAGCTATCCGCCAACCAATGAAGTGTGCTTAGTTTCTCTATGATAAAGTATGGTGTTATAAATCGCTACTTCTCTTAGACCGGGAATTCGGCCTCGAGCTTGGAAGCAACTGCGTTTTTTTATGAATCGAACGAACGACCTGGACGGGCCTATCCAGTATCCTTGTGCATTGCTATGATGGGACGAGGGATCCGAATTATTGCTCCAACATAACAAGTGGAAGATGTGAAAGATGGTGGCGCGGGCGAGAACACCTCAAGAGTTACACAACCATGTACTGTTGATGCATGTTAGCTCACTGAGCACACCAAAATCTATTTTCATATCCATAAATATGGAGGGCTCTGTTGCATGGACAGGGCCAATTAAGTAATCTAAGAGATTCATAGTCTAAGAACAAACAGTCGGCACTTGACCATTTTCTTGAGTTGGCCCAACATCAGAATCATAGGTCCAATCGTTCCCATATTCTCTTCGCTTGTCGATCGCGACAGGTCTGGAATCTTGGCAACACAGACTTGCAGGAGCCATTCTCGCCCCTGGTCTGATGCTATTGTCGCCCTAAATACGATTGATTTTCCATGGCCGTTGCAACCGGATTCCCAGAACAACTTCCACTGATTGATTTCGAGAACGTGAGAATTGTTTCCCGTCATGACCATCCCGACGCCAGCAGCCAGTCCAATGCTATCAGCGGCAACATGGCCAAGTCTGAATCCAAAAACCCAGAAACGAGATACTGATATAACACTCGAGCCTTCACTTTCCGCTAGCCATTTCCCAGCACTGGCAGCTCTACTACGCAAGTCATTATACGGTTCTAATATAACCCAGACAAAGGGCACTGGAGACCTAATTGAGTCAAACGAGCAAAATACGGATAGACCTTCCGCTTCGGCGAACACAGAAGAAAATCAATCCGCTGAGAGAACTCCCTTATTGGCTATTTCAAAGTTCCCAGATCAGCGCAGTAGCTATGGTGGGGTTCATGATATCGAGACTCAGTTATACGACCCCGATGCGGCATCAGAGACTCTGTCTATGGGTCTTTCGGCCATCTCGAAGGTCTTTGAGAAGCTGGCTTCTCCAGAGCTCAAGCGAACCGTGTGGCGACAGGTCATGTTACACCCCGTCAGTATGTTGCCCTCGGTACTAATGGGCCTCATATTGAACATTCTGGACGCTCTATCATACGGCATGATCCTATTTCCGCTAGGTGAACCAATTTTCTCAGACCTAGGTTCGGACGGAATCTCCATGTTCTATATCAGCACAATCATCGCACAGCTTGTTTTTTCGTGTGGGGGATCTGTATTCCCTGGTGGAATTGGAAGTGAGATGATTGAGGTTATACCAGTCTTCCATCAGATGGCACGGACAATTCTAAACCATGTCGGCGAAGAAAACAAAACTTCTGTTATAGCCACAACAGTTTTGTTGTTTTCGGTCAGCTCGATCCTTACAGGTTTGGTATTCCTCCTATTAGGCACATGCAAGATAGGTGCCCTCATTGGATTCTTTCCTCGACAAGTCCTGGTTGGCTGCATCGGAGGTGTGGGTTTCTTTCTTATATTAACAGGTATTGAGATATCAGCTCAACTACCTGGGACTTTCAACATCTCAACTCTGCACATGCTTTTCTACTCGGATACTGCGCTACTCTGGATAACACCATTGTTACTCGCAATCAGTATCCTTGTTTTAAAGCGCTTTCTCCGAACCACTAGTATAGTTAGTGGTTCACTTATTGCAGCTGCTTCTGTCTTCTTTTTTATAAAGTTCATTGCCAAAATACCCATGGACTCTCTACGCAGGACTGGCTGGATATTCGATGCTCCCTTGTCTTCAGCACCGTGGTATCACTTTTACGAACTCTATGGTAAGTTAGCTGCTATTATGAGAGTCGAGATGGTCTAATCTTTCTATTTGTTTTTTTTTTCTTTTTAGATTTTTCGGTCATCAACTGGCCTGCTTTTGTCAATACTACTCCAGCAATACTTGCACTGGTGTTCTTCGGGTTACTCCACGTGCCTATCAATGTCCCAGCGCTAGGTATCTCGACTGGCGAAGATAATCTGGATGTTGATCGTGAGCTGATAGCGCACGGCATCGCTAACACTCTTTCCGGCTTTGCGGGCAGTGTCCAGGTATGTTTGCATAACGGATAAATTTTATGTATGCTAAATTACCAGTAGAACTACCTTGTGTATTCCAACAGCTTACTCTTCATTGAAGCTGGCGGGTCCCGCCTAGCTGGTGTGGTGCTCGCAGGAGCGACTACTGTGGTCATGCTAATTGGTCCTGCTATGGTGAGATTTATCCCCGTCATGATCGTGGGTGCACCCGTCATTCTACTAGGCCTGGAATTATTGCAGGAGGCCCTAATCAACACGTGGGGAAAGCTGCGCCCACATGAATATTTGACTGTAAGTACATAAATAAGGCTCGAGTTCAGCAGCTGATATGCTAGGTAGGTAATTATTATAATCGCCACTATGGGTATTTATGATTTTGTCACCGGTATCTTAACTGGCCTTGTTCTGGCCTGTTTAGACTTTGTCGTGCAAACATCGCGGAACTCTGCTATCCAGGAAATATCCTCGGGGGACTCCGCTGGTTCTACCATTCACCAACCTTTTGTTCAACGCCAGTCCTTAGAAGAGGCAGGAAAGCAAACTCTGGTCCTTAGACTTGGGGGCCACTTGTTTTTCGGGACGATTGTGGAAGTTGAGAGTACAGTGCGCGGGTTTATTGTTGGGGAGGCATTTGATCGCCACCTGATTCGGTTTATAATCTTGGATTTTTCACGCATCGACAGTGTTGACTTTTCAGCAGCAGAGGCCTTTGTTCGCATTGGCCGAGTCCTGAAGTCGAGGAATGTACAGCTGATCATACTTGGACTTGATGTTGAAGGTGATATTGGGAACCGTCTTCGCAACGTGGGGCTTTTCAAACCAGAACTGGGGGCTCAAATATTTGAGCGCCTAGATTTGGCACTCCAATACTGCGAATATGAGTACCTGAAGACTTTAGACACCTACCAAGTACCGCTGGAAAGAGGCGTATCGCAACATCAATCCTAGTCGGCTGAAGGGGTGGGTGGTTGCCTATGCGATAGTCGAAAAGGGGGGCAAAGTGTACATATCAGCGTTGGGACCGCCTCGACCCGGGATGCTCAGGTGGCTGGGATTGGCACGACAAAGACAGGCCACATCATCTGATTTCAAGACCACGAGTCAGCGGAAGCTGCCCGTAGCAATACTGAATGGCTGGACGAGCTCGGAAATAGCACGAAACTAGTGAAACCTTGGTTTGGTATTGTCATACACCGCACGCTAACTGAGGAGTTCGACCTAGAGACCGCAAGTACCTAGGCAGTGGAGAAGATTATAGAAGAAAATAACTTAGTAGAACATGGTTTCCGCATTAAAGAACTAGCTTGGTTAAAATAGAGGGATAAAGTACTAGGGAAGTTTGTATTATTAGGAATCTAGTTTGACTCTATAGAGGGAGTAGAATACATGCTTAACAATGGCCTCCTTGTTGGTTAGCGCTACATTAGTAACGTTAAATAATGTGAGATTAAGAGAAAAAGATGCTTCTGGTGCTAACGCTTTAGACACCTAGCAAGGTCGTGCAAGGAGACCCCGCGATATGGACACTGCGTGGGGTAGCATGAGCAATAGCAATGCCCGCCAGGGGTCAGGGCCCGATGCCTCGACTGTACTAGGGAACACCCGACTGGTGACTAATAATACCCGACCCCCGCGACTTCTGACTCTAACTAATATTAGAAAGGAACCTCCGCGTACTATAGCTAAACATAATGAAATCAGGACCATGAATAGAAGCGCTTATTAATGACTACTAAACCCAAGATCTTGACATCCTCCTGATCCAGGAGCTATCCACTACCACCTACTAAACCTATGTCAACCATAGTGCCTGGCGACTATACTGGCCTACTACTAACTCCGACATGACTTGGTTCCGTAGTCTACTCTACGTGAATCAAAGACTCTTAACCTTATCACACCGCCAGGTGCCCTGTAACCACCCAGATATCACAGCTATTAAGATCTGGACAGCTAATTCTTAGACCCTTGTCTTCTCTGTTTATATACCCTCAGCGCCCATATTCACTAGTAATAACGGGTCGGCGGAACCCGCGCTTATAGTAATTCAAAACATAATCACTACCACCATATAAGATTAATGATCCACTAATATTATTCTCTCTAGAGATTTCAACCACCACTACCCTATGTGGAGTAGTAATAACATTTAACCTTACTTTATTAAGGACGCAAGCAACCTAATTACCTTCTTCTAAATTAATAGCCTCTAGAGCTACCTCTTATGGGGAATAGCGACCTTCTAGCCCCTTAATAACCCTAGGAAGTTCTCTACTATTAACTAAATAGTTACTGACTAGCTAGATCTACTTATTAAATATCACCTATACTATGAAAATTACGGATCTAATTACTACGCCACGTACTTAGAATGGAAATTGTAAGCATAGGTTAGGGCACCTACTAAACTAAGGAAAGTATATAATCATGTAGAATAGAATAAGATTAGTAAGGATATAAACTAATAAATAGGCCTATAGAAGGATATAAAGACCTAACCTATACTAGACGTGGTTGTCTAAAAGCTTATTAAAGCCATGAGCTAGGTGGTTAACTATTTCATGCTAGACACATGGCTAATACTATACTCTAAATAATGGTTCACACTAGACCTTAAAGTCTAATAAGTCAAAGTTAACCAAACCTAATAGAGATGGCAGGCAAGCTGTGCTAAGCTAGGCTAAGATTATCCTTACTCTACTACTATGTTTCAGGACATGCAACACAAGTGATGAGTATGGACTTAGACTATTAAAAAAGTAAAAGCTTTATACTAGTGAAGATTTCTAGACGAGGCTAGTAAGGGAAAACTCTAGAAAGTAGCCACCTACATGAAGCCACGAGAGTTATAGGGATGCGTCCTAATACTATAGACTAGCGTAGAAGAGCATACTAAGAATAAAGATAAAATATAGGTGTTTCTAAACGTATTTTTCCCTATAATAAACACGCTAGATCCTAGTAATCTAACTATATCATAGCTAGAACTTCCCTAGTAACTAATTACTAAACTTGAGATTTAATAATCCCTTAACGCGGCCAACGGGACCATAGTGCCAGGAGAAGACAACCTACCTATACTAGTTTAGAAAAAACTCTAAATATACCTAAAAATACTTATTACTAACATCTTTACTATGTCCGTGAATCTAGGTTACTACCTAAAATAATAGTAAAGTGCTAAGATAGTAGTACTATGGAAGCTAGGAAAGTCTAATTATACTAACCCTAGATCCTATTATCTAATCTCACTTCTTAACACACTTAGCAAGCTTCTTGAAGTAGTCATGGCCTGATAACTCTTATACCTAGTAGAAAAACATGGTTTACTACTAAATAGCTAGTTTAGGGGACGCCTAGGTTGAATGACTAAGCAGGCCCTGCTAGTACTCTTAAACTTAATAGACTAAGCCTAGTATAAATACCATGTTATTACCCTTGTTACTTTTAACTTAAAAGGTATATTTAATAGAGTTAACTAGAGGAGCCTTAATACCTACCTACGTGCAAGAAGGATCCCCTCTATCACGAGAAAGTAAATCACGAGTTTTATAAGTAACCACTATATAAGTATTAGATTTAATAACTTTCACACTATAATAGAACTACTAGTAAATATAGGACTAGTATAGGGATTACTACTCTCTCTAATTTTATTTATATTCTTTAACGCGGACCTGGTTAAATAACCTATTAATATCTATAGGGGCGTGTTAGCCTTTATTAATAATTACTTTTAGTAGCGAGTAGGACGCTCCGTGGAGGAAAACCTAGCCTAGATATAATTAAAAGATATCCTGTGAATTAAGGCCTGGGCGTGGGAGACTAGATCCTACTTTATAGCTAAGAAAACTAAGCTTATTTACTTTACTAGGAAAAAGCGCGAACACCTAGAGGGATTAGTAATACTAAATAGCATAGTAATTAGACTATTACCCATGGTAAAGCTGCTAGGAGTAGTATTTAACTAAGAGCTATAGTAGAAGGAGCATGTTTAATAGGCTATTAAATAAGTAACTAGAATAACTATTGCCCTATATAGACTATGATATCTGCGCTCTAAATAAATGCGTTAACTCTACTAAGCATATATAGTGCTAGTCATAGACTATGTGTTAACTATCTAGCATGACCCGCTACGTAATAAAACCTACCTATGATACTTGAATACTATATAGAGGACCCCGTTAATCCATATTCTCTTAGTATTTAGGATAGTGGTGACTACTATCCTAGAAGTAGAAGCCCATGTTCTCCCTATACACCTCCATCTCTACCACCACGCCTAATGCACCCTAGCTAGGCTATACACGCTACCACGCGATCACCCTATCTAGGACATATTATCCCGAGCTTAGAAATAAAGGAATAATATTAGATTATATACATGCTTTCCTTTAGCTAAAGTGCTAAAGACCATGAACGTGGACTAATTAAATAAGTTAGAAATAATTAACCCACGCCTACTACTACCATGGTGAAGGGAGGCCTTTGTAGAGATTAATATTAAACTAGACTAAGAGATAGCCAGGGAATTTGCTAAGACCATAGGTTCTAGATCTAATATTATTATCTATTTAGATGCCTCTGGGCGAGAAGGCTATCTAGGGGCCGCTATTATTACACTTAATAATGACTAGAGGGTGATTGAATCCTAATAGGTATAGGTGGGATCCATGGACCACTAGTTAGTTCATGTCGCGGAGCTCATAGGCATCTTTCACGCTATTAGTATGGTACTTAAGATATTCTACTAACGCCTGAGCTAAATAGATTATAGCCTAACCACTATAACTAATATATGCGATAGTAGATTAGTATTATAAGTAATTTAGAGCGTGAAGATTATATTAGGATAACGAGTTATCCACGCGATCCTCTAAGTAGCTACTAAGATTTAAGCAAGGAATATAGATCTCCGCCTCTAATAGATTCTAGGACATTGCGACAACCCTAGTAATAACGTGGTAGACTAGTTAGCCAAAGCTACCACGCACCTAGGTTAAACCCACTCCTTCCGCCCGCTACTAACGAGGGATATGGCGCTAATCTAGGATAGAATCCATGCTTAGTAGGAGCAAGAATGGAGATCTAGCACTAAAGGTAACTACCTTTAAAAGATTAATAATACCCTGCCCGCGAACTATACCTAGAAGCTTTATAGTTCCCTACCTAGAAACCAAGCTTACCTACTTATATAGCTCTACATGGGCCATAACTAGTTATCCACCTTTACTAAGAAACATAGCTTCCATGATAATAACCTGTGCGCGTGTGGCGCGTGGGAGACAGTCATCCATGTATTAGTAGACTATCCAAGGTTATAAGGGCTATGAATAAAATTAAGGAGAGAGGTTAGAGACGCGTTTAATAGTATATTAAGCCTACTAGGAGGCTTAACCCAAGGTAAGAAAGGTAATCTAGATATTATCTCGCGGGCTAAAATAGTTAATGCCATGCTAGACTTTGCTAAGGCGTCACAGAGATTTCGCAGTCGCGCGCCACGAGGGCAGCCTAACAATGGGAGCGGCAATTAGGCCATGACAGGCCGTGACGAGGCTCTAAGTTCGTTTTCAGGAAGTGGAAGAAACTACATGTACGCAATCAGATATATAGTTGTTGTAGCCTGCATATCGCTTTGGCGAGGGGTCAGGGTAAATGAAAGCATCATCATCATCATCATTGCCTGTGAATGATGTCGACGAGGCAGCCGAGGAAAGGAAAACGCGCAGACATACTCGTGGGACGAGTCTTGTTGAATAGAGATATCTGAACTCGTGCTGTTATGGTGGTGTCCCGAGCGGGAACTGCCCCTGGCCAATGGCGGCCCCACCAGCGGAAGGGCCCGAACCCTATCCCGCAGACACCCAGGCTCGAACAGCGACCAACGCAGCCTATTTGAAAATCATCGGAAGAAGAACGCGGAATGGCGAAACCCTACTACTGCC